CCTTAGATAGCGATGATATACGTACTGCATGCAGCAAACCATCTGTCAAGGGGGCCCCAGAGGAGCTGAACAGATGCAACAACTCAGACACGCATAAGGAAAACTAGCTTGGAATCAGGATTAAGAACCACTCAAAGCCTAATGCTTTGAAATGGGAATGGGAACTCATCAGTGTCACATAGCCCCCTCCATCCAGAGCAGTTCCCTGGGAGAGAGAGTCTTGCCATAGTCAGAGTCTCCCTTCCTGAGGACTCAGCGCAGTCACAGTAGAGAACTCAGAATACTGGGTAAATAATCAGGGTGCCTTTCTTTGACTGCCTAATGTTTTATGTTGTTTTAAAATTAAAAAAAATAGCCGAGACCGGTTTGGCTCAGTGGATAGAGCGTCCCGGGTTCGATTCCGGTCAAGGGCATGTACCTTGGTTGCGGGCACATCCCTGGTAGGGGATGTGCAGGAGGCAGCTGATCGATAGTTCTCTCTCATCGATGTTTCTAACTCTCTATTCCTCTCTCTTCCTCTCTGTGAAAAATCGATAGAATATATTTAAAATAAATTAATTAATTAAATTAAAAAATAAACAAACAACAACACACACACACACACACACACACTGAATGGATCCATGGCAAAGCTTTAGGTAAAGACAGTGAGAATTTGAGTGCTTCAGACATGGCAGACCGTGTTTTAAGTGCCTCGTACATGTTAATTAATTTAATTCTCATAGCCATCAAGGGGTAAGTACCAGTACTGTCTCCATTTAACAGATGAGAAAACTGAGCCTCTGAGCAGTTATGGAGCTTGACAAAGGCCATGCCAGCTGTCAATGGTGCAGCTGGAGCCTATGCCCAAACCTCTAAACTCCATTGCCTCAGTGTACGCCCACACCTTTTGCAGATCACAGAGGCGCAATAGTTGACGCCAGGGTATGGCCATCCTGGATCCTTCGGAAACCCTAGCAGGCCCTGTCCAGCCTCTTCTAGTGCAGAGCACACACAGTAGACAAAGCAGCACATGGAGCTATGTGGGGGTCCTAAGAATCCCTTCCACATCAGCTTCAGTTTCTTCTGTGGTCCCCAGGCCTTTCTGGAGTGCCAACATGTCTACTTTTTAAATATATATATATATATATATATATATATATATATATATATATATATATATATAATTGATTTTTTACAGAGAGGAAGGGAGAGGGACAGAGCGAGTGTTAGAAACATCAATGAAAGAGAACATTGATCAACTGCCTCCTGTACACTCCCTACTGGGGATGGGCCCACAACCAAGGTACATGCTCTTGATCGGAATTGAACCTGGGACCCTTGAGTCTGCAAGCCGATGCTCTATCCACTGAGCCAAACCAGTTAGGGCCTGCATGTCTACTTTTGTCACAACACTCTGGGCTCTGGCTCCAAAATCCTCTGAGGCCCTGAGATCAATCTGTGCTGTGGGTGGCTGTCCTGGACTTTAGTGCCACACACACTGCCTGCCTGAGAACCAGCTGGCCTGCAGGGCCCGTCAACTCTCAGGCATCAGGGCAGAGGAGGAGGACCAGAGAGGCCTGGTCTGGGACCTTGAATCATGGAAGTCAGCCTGTCCAGGCAAGCCCCAGCCATTTCCACTCTTTCCTGCAGTGGCACACATACATCAGGCATCCACTCTGGGTGTGCAACTGACAGATAGATAAATAAATAAATAAATAAATAAATAAATAAATAAGCAAATAAATAAATTTATATATATATATATATATATATATATATATATATATATATATATATATATATATATATCTGTGTCTCCTGCATGCCCCCTACTGGGGACTGAGCCCAAAACCTGGACATGTGCCCTGACCAGGAATTGAACTGCAGGCCTCCTGGTTCATAGGTTGATGTTCAACCATAGAGCCATGCTAGCTGGGCTATTTTTTTTTTTTTTTAAACAAGGTCTCCAGGTGATTCCTAGGCACACTAAAGTTTGATAACTGTTGATAAATATAGAAGGTTTCACGCTTAATCATCCCAGTGATGGTACTATGTTTGCTTAGTAAGAAAAGTGCTGACGTCTCTCTAAGGAAGGAAGCAGCACTTGGAGAAGCTGAGCAAGTCAGGGTTTGCGGTGCACTTGGACAGTCGGGGGCTACTAACTACTGAGCCTATGAAATACAACCCGGAGAGCTGTGGTTTGGAGATTTTACTTAGGTTTGCCCAGAAACAAAGATTTCACAAAGTCATTGTGAAGTCCAAGGCCTTTCACAGGAGATCAGGTGACATTCCAGAGTGGCCTCAACAACCTCTTCTGCCAACTAGCAGATCAAAGGCAGTAGCTAACAAAAACAAGAGGAGAAGAGTTAGGACTTTCTTTCCTATTTCCACTTCCTAGGAAATGTGATTGGGGGTGGATCTGGGCAAAGATATATCTCCTTGGCACAATTTAAATTTCACTTGTTTTTGATGAATCCCTTCACTGCAAAGCCCACATGAGCCCTACTGTATTTATAATTTAAACTGCAGAATCCTCAAAAGCGCCCCCTCCCCCCCACCCCCCCTTTGCAAACTTGGCCCGACTCCAGAGACGGTCTGACCTCAGCTGTGTCTTCTCAATCAGACTGAGAAGTTCCCAAAGATCAGCATCCTCAGGGAGGCTTTGCAAAAGGCAGGGTCTCTGGCTTTTGCGCAGATGCACTGGGTGGAACCATTACGAATGGGGCCCAACAATCGGTATATTTATAAAGTTCCCCAGGTGATATGCTAATCAGCATAATTTGGCAAACACTGCACGAAAGCCTTAATCACAATATATCTCCACCTCCTGGCAAACTTATTAACCTGCAGACTCCACTAAGTTTTTGCAAAATAATACTTGGAAGAACAAAGGTTTACACTCAAAGGCATAGGAGTGTCTACTTCAAAGCTAAGGAATCTGAAGCTTCCGGGAACCCCTGTCTGGCTGGTCTCCTCCCAAGGCTTCACTACCATTCTCAGGTGTACTTTCTTCTTCATGTTTTTAAACAGAGCATCCCAAATTGTGTAAGCTTTGAGAGCCACAACACTTAAACCTGCCCCTGTCTTTAAATGACAGTATATCTGAAAAAACCATGCAAAATAGTCCTGAACTCAATACTTTCAACAGGTTAATTTTTTTTTTCTAATCAATGGCTTCTCTGAATCTGCCCCTTCCCTTTTAAAACTGATAGTCTACCTCCAGCAGTCTCATTTTGACAGGGATTCTGATATTCAGTCTGAGACAATATTAGTGCCATGATGGCCTGGGACAAGAGCTGATCGCAAGAGCAGATGGTCCAGGCAAAAGCCCACCCAGAGGGATACGACGATGCCATGTGCATGATGGCTGTTGAGAAGTCCAGGAGGGGAGCTCGCTGCCGAGATTAAGTGGGGACTCTGAAACCACACTATGTGACCTGAACTCAAATTGATTGATTTACCCGGTGAATTTAATGGATGAGCCTCATTCATTCTGAATAGGAAAAGCAACCTGCTGCATCTTCCTTATTCATGAGCTCATTCTCCAATTTAGAAAGGTCGCCTCATGCTTCAAGCCAAAAAAAAAGCAAAACAGCCTTCAAGTTGAGAAGCAAAGGTCTTTCTGCAGTGCTCATGTGTTCACATTTTCTTTTTTTCTTTTTGTTTTTTTTAAATATATTTTATGGATTTTTTACAGAGAGGAAGGGAGAGAGATAGAGAGCCAGAAACGTTGATGAGAGAGAAACATCGACCATCTGCCTCTTGCACACTCCATACCGGGGATGTGCCCGCAACCAATGTACATGCCCTGGACCGGAATCGAACCTGGGACCTTTCAGTCCGCAGACCGACGCTCTATCCACTGAGCCAAACCGGCTTCGGCGTGTTCACGTTTTCTGAGTTCAGGCTATTTTTACTCAGGAGCACAGACGGCAGTGTAAGCACAGCAGTTTCTGTCATAGCAGGTGTGGGATCCTCGGCCATTGTCCTGAAAACGTGCACACACGGGCGACTTGCATTTGAACAGCTTGGGAACAAATGCCATCCATCCTTTGGTCACGCAGCTGTCTGATGCTTCTTAGGAAGAAACAAAAGGTATAAAACATAACCCCAGGAAGCCTTTTTTAGAAGCAAATGACTGAGCTGCCATGAAAGAATATTACAGCACATCATGTTGGAGGTGTTTCAAACACAGGGCGCGTCTGAAAATGAAATCGTCTGAGGAGCCACAGGAGAATCACTGGAGACAAACACAAGCTCAGCCACAGAAGGAGGTTTGTACTCAATCAAATGAGACCTGGGCTAACTCCCCGAAGGCGTATGGTCTGATGGGAGCTCCTGGATACCACTGTTCTGATCTCAGGTGGAAATGAAGACCAAAGCACAAAGAGTGTTCCTGTTGAAAAAATTTACTGAGCTGGAGGTTGTGAAAAGGAAGCCCACCAATAAAAAACAAAACAAAACAAAACAAAACAAGGCGGGGTGCTATAAGGACAGTGGCTAATTGTAAACAACCTATGTTACCTCTCTGCATTGAAGATATGTCCTCTCCCCTGACAATCCTGTGTTGCTAGAGGCACTAGGTCGGACAGCAGAAGTGGCTGCTCAAACAGGGACTGCATCCTCTCTCCTCCTCCTTCACTCCCCCTCCTCCCAACTAGTTATTGCCAATACAGTGTGAGTGGAGATGACATGTTTCTTTTCCAGGCCCAGGTGGTTAAGAAACAGGGAAGCCTTCTTACCCATTTTCCCCTATTCTCTTTATTCCCAACTGCCTGTTGGATGTTGAACTTGCACTTGTTAAAGCCACCAACTATGCAAGTCCCAGAGTGACAGCCGGAGCCCCAGTGGATCTGGAACCAGCGGGAACCACCTGGTACTGTTCAGTAAGAAGTAAAGCTATATTTATGTATGCCTATGCAATGCCACCCCACGGTATGCTTTTTTTTTCTTTTTTTCTTTTATAGCAGCTAGCATTACTCTGAGAGAGACAAATCCTGTTCAAGGTTAGAGCATACCTGTTATGTGAATGCGATATTCTTCCTTGAAGATCTTCTGGAAGAAAGGAATCTGGAACTGCATGTGAGGCGTATGCAAGCCGGGGAGGTTTACATCCACGTCTCCCATGAAATGTGGGAATTCCCAGTCCTATCAGAGAAAATCAACATAAAAACACATTTGTGATTTGTTTTGTACCTAAGCAGTGAAACATCCCCAAATCGACTTTTTGTAAGCACTTATTTGAAAATCATTTCAATGCAGCCAAGCTGTTGGATGTATCAGTTTCATTCGGTGATGGTTATTTTATGTACATTAGGTAGCGGTGTTCCTTCAAAATCAACATTAAGTCATAACTTATATCCTCAGCTTTTCTCTTTAATGTGGTACTCAGAAACCAATATGGAATGGATTTGCATCTATACATGTTTATCTTTTTCTTCTGCAGAACTGATTTAAAGTTTTTATATGGAGTAAGCAATCCATATTTTATAAATATGGGGTAGATTTGTTTCATTACCTTTAAAATATATAAGCCCTATAATAGCATGTTTTATGTAAGAAGACGAAGTAAAAAGGACCTGATTCACTTAAGTAAATTTTTCCGTTTACATCAAGCCAAAGACTCCCGTCCTGCTCTCTTGCAATTTAGCATTAGTTTGAACCCAACAATGGATGCCTGACATGCTAATGTAAGAGACAAACAGTGAATTAATTCCCAAACTGTCATTAATTATTTCCTGGTTAGGAAAGCAAAACCAAGTGGGATAACACTCCCTTTCACAAATCAGAGTATTTGCAGGTGTCTCACCTGCTCTTGGTTTTTGGATACAGACATCAAAGTAAAATTCATAACTACTGTGTTTCCCCGAAAATAAGACATCCTCCGAAAATAAGACCTAGCGCATGGAAAAATAAGACACCCCCTGAAAATAAGATCTAGCGCATCTTTGGGAGCAAAAATTAATATAAGACACTGTCTTATTTTGGGGGAAACAAGGTAGCATGAGAAGAAAGAATGCACAAAATGCACTGATTGGCCAGATTATTATGATCTCTGAATGCATAATATACTCAGTGGCCAGATTATTATGTGTTCAGAGATCATACCTGTTATGTGAATGCGATATTCTTCCTTGAAGATCTTCTGGAAGAAAGGAATCTGGAACTGCATGTGAGGCGTATGCAAGCCGGGGAGGTTTAAGAAATATTTGAGGTGAATCCATAGACCTTAGTACAGATATTTTCACTTTTAATAATGAAAGAATCATTAAATGATCAGTTCTGTATTTAGTGAATATTTTTAAAGAACTTGAATATTAAAAAAAATAAGGCACACAATAGTAATTTAAAATTTCAATTAATTATCTCAATGTAAAAAAGTTGGAATTTCCCAAGACTTCTTGGGTGTAGGGCCTTCTTGGTTAGGGACAATCAAGCCAGCAGGGGAGCAGTTAGGGACAATCAGGCTAGCAGGCAGAAGCAGATAGGGACAATCAGGCAGGCAGGCGAATGGTTAGGAGCCAGCAGTTCTGGATTGTGAGAGCAATGTCTGACTGCCAGTTATCCCCTCAGGGGTCCCAGATTGGAGATGGTGCAGGCTGGGCTGAGGGACACCCTCTCCTCCCCACTCCCCTACCCCTAATGCACGAATTTAATGCACTGGGCCTCTAGTTTATGTTTATGTTTATATTTATATTTATTGATATTATTTATATTTATATACCAAGTTATCCTGAAAGCTTCCTATGAACCCATCTCACAGATGAGAAGGTTTACTTTAGAGAAGGTTAAGTTGTCACAATGTCACATAGCAGCCATATGGCAGAACCTGGCCCAAACAATACATACTTTCTGCTAGGTCATGCTGTCTTTAACTGTGAAAAGTGACTGCAGTTACCATGTTTTATTAAGAACTGAAATTATTTTTACCTGATATATCTGGTTCTAGCTGAGAATCGCTAATGGCAGTCATGCCTGCTTTTCTTTCACCAAAGGCCAGTTCCATGAGGAGCTTTAAATTATTTTCCTTCCATCCCCATTCCAAGAGGGCCCTCATTTTTATCTGATCCTACCTTGAACAAGAATAACTTAAATTCTTTCTCCTCTATACAACTGTCCCAGAAATAGTTGGTTTGTAATCCAACTGATGAGGGAAATTTGAATAACGGGTGATTGATAGCAAATACTGAGATTCTCTTGGCATTATGCTATGGATGTACAGCCAATTTCATACACAAATTACATGAGAGGCTTGGCTTTTTTTCCTTATGCATAAATTTTAAATATGTACTTTGAACACAGAATGAAAATAAATATTGGTTTAAGACAGTGGCCGGCAAACTGCGACTCTTTGGCCCCTTGAATGCGGCTCTTCTATAAAATACCAGGTGCATGTACAGTGTGTTTGAAACTTCATGGCCCATGTGCAGAAGTTGGTTTTCGGCTCTCAAAAGAAATTTCAATAATTGTACTGTTGATATTTGGTTCTGTGAACTAATGAGTTTGCTCACCACTGACTTAAGAGAATGATGAGCAAGATGTGTTCGCCTACTAAGACCAGGGTAGATCCAGGCTGATCTTGTGATTGCATATTAAGAATTATTAATTTATTTTGTTCTTCAAGAAATGGTATAAGTATTTAGTAATTCAAACCTTCATTACTACCTTCTGATATTAAACCTAACAATAACTGCAGAGGTCTGTCACATTTGCGCTTTAGAGTCGTAAAAATTTTTTACTATACATGCTATTCCGGCCAGTCCTCATCAGTTCATGGTGATGAACAGACTTGCAACTTTGTATCTCGCTTCATCTGTGACAGACAATCCATTGCTATTCAGATGGGCATATTTCCCATGGGAAAATAAATGAGCAGTGCCATGGTGTATATCTAATCTCATTTTTTTACATGCTATGGCCTACTAGCATAGCAATAAAAATCACATTTGAACACTGATGACCAAATTACATTTGGATGTGTAATTTGGACTGATTTGTCCAAATGTGATTCTGTCCAAATGTGGCCCCATTATTCATGAACCACATTGGGATAGAATTTTAGGGCCATGTTAAGTATATAGCCAAGATGGTCTCAGGATAGACTGGATTCTGCATTTCCCCACGTTTTCTCATTGAGAGGCATGCCTTAGGGCCTAAGAATCGAGTTTGGTATGCAGAGGAACTCAAGATTGAAACCAACACTGTTTTGAATTCCCCAACTAGCATTCAATTCCCAAAGCAAAGGAAGAGACCTCATTTCTATTTAGAGAACCGTGGGAGGATAAAAAAAATGGAATAACACTGATTACTCTATCCTGTCATACTAAGCCAGGGTATCAGAACATAAGTTTTATTTTTGGAGTCAAGGATTGGTCACTAGATTTTTGAGGAAATAAAGAGATAGATTAAATTATATTTTACTGAAAAGTACTGATCATCATCCAGAGTAGAATTGATAATAGATTCTTAAATATTAGTAAAAAAAACATTTTTTCAATATAATACTTTGTATATCTAGATACTATTTAAAGGCATTAGATTATTAAGTTTTAAATTATTTCAAAAGCCTCTTCACAGATATATTTATTTCTCTTTGTTATTCTCTATTCCTCCTAAATTTAGATCCACAGATATCAGAACATCATACTACCAAATATTTCCCCAGCTTATAAAGTGTCCTTAGCTTCCCTATGCTTATCAGTGTCCTAGCAACAGGATTTCAGATGACAATAAGTGGCCTGAAAAATTGTACTTCTGCTTTGGGTGATATTTTTGTTTCTCATTAAGAATCTCAAGTGCTCAATTTCTTTTGGCAACCCTATGCTTCTTCTAATTGGCAAAGTTGCCATGGGATCCCTTGGCTGAGTAAATCCTTGGAAACCTTGACATATAGTAGATGGTGCTTCTATGTTTGTTTATTATTTATTGTCTATCTTTCCCACTGGAATGTAAGCTCTTGAGAGCTTACAGGTCTGTGTGTGTGTGCGTGTGTGTTTTCTTCCAGTGAAATAAGAACTCAAATATTTGTTCAATTATTGAATGGAGCTCTCTCAAAGTTAAAGATATACAACAACCCTTTTATGGTTTCATGTAATTGGAAACTCAGGATGTACTTACATAAACAGATAACATAATAAATACTTGTTTTTGTAAATAACATTACACATCAACCTGAGATTCTTTATTATGAGAAAAATTTTTCTCCCTTATAAACTAGGTGTACTGGAATCATAAAGTAACCTAAAGATTATGCCCTTTACCTAAGGCACAGAGAAAAGGAGACAGTGGATAATTAAAGAAAGAAAGTGGAGGTCAAATGCAAATATTGTGAGATGAAGCATTTACTGTTGGGGGATTTAGTTAAAATGCATGTTGGGATGATCCAAGAAATCCTTTCAGGGACCATGTAAATGTAAAGAAGCTCAATAAGACATGTCTGAACAGGTCAAAAAACAAGAAAAAATAATGTAAACCAACATGTGATTTAAAAAAGGTGGGGGAATCATTTCCCCACAGTGGATGGCACTAGAAAGGCTGTGAAGGCCAAGGGGAATATCAGAGAGGGCCTGCGGTAAGTGTGGGCGACGGACAAAAGAGAAACAGCATGAGGGTGTTTCTCAGAGGTCCTTTGACTAATGCCCTTTTCTCAGATGTTATACTCTCATTTTCTCTTAATATTCACTACTGGTTTTTCCCCCTGAAGGGCAAATGAATTCTATAACCTCTTAGAGTTTTCTCCCAGGAGGCATATATGCTATTTAAAAGATTAAAAACCTCTAAGGAAAAAACCTTGGCTTTCCGGTTGAAATAGGCTTTTGTCAACAAGTAGTGGAGATGGCAGATCACATTCATCACTGAAATAAATCCAAGTCAAAGTATAAATTTCCACTTAAAAATGTTTAAAGAACTTGACTATTGCATGTGTTTTTGTATATTCTAAGATATCAAGGAACTCTCAAAACTGTTGTTGCCCAAGCAATCTAATTTATCCTAAAGGCCTATTTTGTTTAATGTATTTTCTTTATCGGTAATTTTTCTTACTAGCAAAGGCCAATATGAATTTTCCTGGCTAATTCTGAAGCCAACGTTCATCAGTGAAATATAATAATGCCTATAAAAAAGCAAGTAAGTCAATCCCAGAGTAGATT